GGGATAGGGGGATAATTTATTGAACTGCACATTGATAAATATTTACATTGAGTGGGACATGGAAAAATATTTCCTAATTCTTATAATAGTACTACCATTGTGCTGCCCTTGATTTCCAGTTCACTGATATCTACATTGTATCCATGATAACTTACCTCTTGTGCCTTATCTTTGTTTTCCTTCAGGTATTTTAGTTCTGTTTCACACTTGGTTACARTTCTACCCTGAAAGTAAAAAAGACGTAATTATTTACCCATTGGATCATAGGATCATCATCACTAGGGTTCCATAATAGCATTTACCATTAACATATCAAAAATCCTCTTCAAATTTTATCAAACCCTGAAACACCCTTTGGGCYTATCTACATCAGGGCATAGCTAACTCAAAGATTGAACTYGAAACAACCTCTGGGCTGATCTATATGTAAGTCAGGATACAGCTAACTCACAGATCGTACTGGAATTTAGCTGGTTACTATTAGTTTTTGCAGAAGGAGGAAAACTTGAATGCATAGAAAAAAACTTGAATCAAGGGAAGAGCCTAACAAACTCTGCTCACATGTGATGCTGAGTAAGGAAMCAAGCCCCAGAGGGGAGAGGCAAGTGTAAAAAAAAACCTTCAGAGATGCAACAACCAATCACAGCACAAACTGACCAACCAATCACAACATAGATGATCACAACAGTGGTATATAACAGACAAACTATCCAGTGTACAACATCACTTGTTGAACATTTATAGCAGTTTGCAGTCAAAACGTAGACTTAGTCCCTCTACAAATCACTATCCTCATATTATTATATATACATTACTTGTTCAAGTCTCAGCTTGCGTATGGCTTCAAGGGCTTTAATGTATCTGTCAACATGCAAAATATTAATCAACTCATGTTTACATCAAGTTACAAGGTTTATTTATCTAGCAACTTGCCTTGTTGCAGCAAAGATTTCATCAAACTTTTGCTTCAAGGCTTTTCCTTCACTAAGAGGCCTGGGAAGAATAGGCAAAATTCTGTTAATATTTCAGGGGAAAAATAATGTAATTCTGATTTCCCAGATAATCTGCAATTCAATGAAAGAAGGAGCTGTAGGGAAAYGGTACACAAGATGGATTAAATATAATAATTGTAAGGTAGGATAAGAGATGTAATATTGTAAGGTAGGATGAGAGAACGCATGTGGGCCGTTAATGTATTCTTACGACATACCAATTAGAATCTTCTTGGTGACAGAATATAACATTCTCCAGCACAGCTTTAGAGACTCCAAGCATAGAAATCATCTGAAGAAGTTATTAAACATCAAATTAATTTTATTATTAAATTTATAGACACCTCACTTTATAATGCTCTGATTGGTCAAGTACTGTGCGGTATTAGTGAACAGAGCACAGCCTTCACAAATAAAGYACTACCAGCATAAGAAACAATACATTTTTTTTGATTCATACTAAAACAATTAACAGGTTTCTCCATAAACAGCACTTAAGAAAAAATAAAGAAATCATAATCAAGACTGACATCGTTCATCACTTCCTGTGTGCTGCATCACTGAACTGAGCACAGAAAAATGTTTTATTATCTTATTTTATTGTTTATCATTTTCCTTCTTACTTCATGATTCACTTCAGCACATTTGGAACTCAAGCTTCGTCTCTAGAAATGAAAAAGGTTATGTTACCAAGTAGTGTAATAAAGGGTGCTTTATCTACGGTTTTTTTCATTTTAGCCATCGACATGTTTTGAARAGAAAAATTCATTGGAAAGAACCCCCTTTGTTTTAGGCTGCAGAAGGTTCACCTTAACAAAGTGGATTCCAATTATCAGGACAGATGCCCATTTACTAGTTAAATTACCTCTCCATGTATATCTTTTTTGATGACACTCTCTAGACTTCTGGTTTCAAGTTTTTTACCCTAAAGCAATAAACATATGGATTACACCAAGTGGCCATTGCCAAATGATGAATAAAATGTCACAATATTGTTGATCAACTACACGTGTTTGAAGAAAGGTATAAATTACATTCATAGAGCACATGATTTATAAAAGCACACAGCACAAGCTCGCTCTTTCTATTGCATCCTTTGTTTCCAAAACAATGGTTATTCTAATTTGTATTTTATTTACTTAAATACTTGGGCTTTGGCAGAATGCCAGAATGCTCGAGAGTGTTGAGAAGCATTCCACTATTGATCATCCTTCTCCTAACACTTCTCTTGTGTTCTGTCAATCTCTTCATTGTTTAAAACTGCACACAACACACACATACATTTTCTATTTCTTCACGATTATAACTGCTAACCTTTTGTTGAGATATCAAAGCTCTTGTAACTACAACAGTTTTACCAGTGATGTCTTTAAACATCAGCTTTACTTGCCCTTTAATCTCTTGCTCCCCTGCAACCTGGAATTCAATGTATAATAGTAATAGATTCAACTATATCATAAGACTGTACCAAGCTGTACCTTGTAGTCAATTGTATGTGATTATACTCACATGTGATTATGATACTGGGTCCAGGAATAGAACCTTAAGCTCTCAGAGATGAGAGGAAAGAGTAGTGTGTGCACTACTGCTTTGCCACACTTTATAAATGCAYTAACTTCTCATAATAATATGTAATCTAGTCTATTATTAATTGAATATGCCAAACCCATACKTTACCTTTGGATCATGGACAAAGTAGGAGTTCTTGCTTCCTGGCGGCAAATCACCTGTTGTCACATATTTCAGGCATTCAATGATGGACTATAAAAAGAATAAAATGACTATTATTAAATTGTTTATKTTTGCATGGCTTGGAAGCATACAGTACTGATTACTGCACATGCATACACAATATGACATACTGTAAAAACAAAATGGCTCCCCATTGTCTTCCATCAACTCATTCAACCACAACACATACTGTTGTTACTGCTGTAATAAGATACACCATATGGCTACAGTATAACTACGAATTTACCATATAGTTACCCACTCATAAAAAAATGAACTATCGTTGTTGTCATTGTCATAATAATAAATGAGAGTAACTTACAGTCTTTCCTGCTCCATTGGAACCAACAATCAATGTTAARGGTTTAAAGAATTCTATAGCAGCAGGTTCATTCTGGGAGTAGCTCCTAATGCCTTGAATCTTTAATTTCTCAATGGATGACATACTGGACAATATAGTTAATATACAGCAGAAAAAGATACCTAAAATAACAAAAGTACAATACGCATAATATGCTTTCCCATTTCTTGGCCATGAGCATGTTTCATCCTATATAAATAAGATCTTTTTTTGGGGTCTCATTCATACTACTATATCAAAGCGTTAATGGTAAACAAAGGAATGATAMTCAACGGAATTACACATTGTCTGAAATTATCAAGCTGTTTATAYGTAACACAGTATAGCTATATTAATCATTCATCAAAATTAATTAAAATCTTAGATTTTGGATAATATTGAAGCTTGATACCTACATGTAATGACTGTAATATTTTAAAGTATTAGCTATATCATGGCAGGCAATTTCAGGCAAAGGGATGTGTTTATTTACAATAATGGTTTATAAATTGCTTCACTCTTTAGTTTGCCTTTAGACATTGATTATCACATCTTCTGTTAGAATCAAAATATTCCCAAACATTCCACATGAGACTTTAGTAGGGAGGGGTGGGTGGGGGAATTTCCTGGAAATTCCTCACTAGCTTTATGACATGTACTAAAACCTTGCATCATTCACATTAAATACCAGAAAACGTTTTATTAAAAGAAAAGAACATAAGCWCAAATCTAGACAACTTAACTTCCCATAAATCCTAAGTAAAGTTGTACGCTACAATCCAGATGTAAGCTATGTATGGATGTCCCCTGGGACGTCTTAGCGTCCATTTTAAAATTCATTTCCGCTCAAAATTAGAGCTACAAATGCACTACGGGACAAGAAAACCAAAGAAACGTGAATAATCTATAGATAAGTAAAATAATTACAGCCTTACGACCGCGTATGAATATAGTAAACACAATGTTATGTTGCATACCTGGCGAGATATGGCTCAGAATGAAGACATCTTGTTTCTTCCCGCGCTTAATAAACACCACAGGAAGCCCAACTAACACMAGTTTACCACGGCTACTACCCACCACAGGGTGCCCGCAACTCTTTCAGTATACGTACCGATCAAACATGGCCACTTCCTGTGAAGATGAAGTGAAGAACAAGAAGCAACAAAGACAAGATCAGATACCAATTAATGCTGAAGGAGAAGCTAAGGAAATAATCGACAGGAAATCAGAGTCAGGGAATAATGATAAACCAAAGCTTTTTCCTGCTGTTGCAATGGTTAGTGTTCTACTTTACGAATGGCATATAGTGCTTTCGATTGTGTTAGTAAAAATGTATTTATTTGTTAATATAAATATTATTATCATCATCATCATCATCATTATTCAATATTATTATTATTAT